CGTCAGGCATTCACGATCAGCACGTACTGTGTATGTGTATTGTGTACCACTTGTATACACGACACGCAAAATACATAGGTAGTTATATATATGTATGTATTGATTTAGCGACTATAGCGACAAGAATGGCAAGCGCCAAATGTAATGTCTAATGTTGCTAACGTCTAACCGCTAACGGCTAAGTACCGGAATCACGAAATCCCGATATCGGTTGTGAGCACTCGTTGCCTCCAGTTTACCTCTCCGTTTATATATATAAAATTTAAATTCAATATAAATAAAAATGCTTTCTCCGGATCCGAAATATATTTTTCGCGGCAATATGAGTTGTGTTCACTGTGTTCTTTTTTCTATAAATCCTAATGCAGAACATCTTTATGCCGGCACCATCAAAGGCAACGTTCACATTTGGAATTTAAATGTAAATAAGATATTTTATTATTTTCTTGTGACGTCATAAATGTATTTGTTAGTGTACAATAAAATGTATTCGTGAATATAAATTGATTATTTTCTGCCTCGAAGACGAACAGGGAGTTATGCCAGATTCCATCAGGGAAAGAATCTTGTTTGAGTTTGCTATGTATGAATAATGACTTGTTTGTTCAACATAAATGTGGTTTAATAAAAGCATATAAGAACACAGGGTCTCAGTGGATTCTAAACAAATCCATTGATACAAATTTCTATCATTATTGCAGGTATATATGTGTATACAATGTATAAACTATATATATTCATACATTCAGTATGGAGAAAGTTTATTTTAAATTAATTTAATATAATTTACACTATTCATAACAGATTTCAGTCATTATCTGAACATGAAGTATTGGTTCCACTTGAGGAATCCACTGTTGGAATATTGTCCACGAATACTTTTAATATAGGATTGAAATTGAAGTGTTCAGGTAATGAAGATTTAGGAGAAGCAATGGTGATTAAACCATTGAGAAATGAAAGACTAGTTTTGGTGGGTTACGAACGAGGAACAGTAATTCTGTGGGATATTAGACAGAGCAGAGTTTTGAGTTCTCTCAAATTAGAGTCATGTCCGATGGCTTTAGATTTCGATAATAATGTAATGAAAGGAGTTATCGGTAGTCCTTCTGATAACATTCAGGTAAATATACAGAAATAGTCAAGAAATATGCAACACGAAGAGTATTTACTGATCGCTGAATTGAATTCTGCATTTGTAGACGTTTTCTTTATCAGACAATTCACTGTTTGTTAATAACAAGATACCTCTCACAAATCCTGGCATTTCTGTAATTACAATAAGGCCTGACGCTAAGATCATGGCAGCTGGAGGATGGGACAGCCGAGTTAGAATATTTTCTTGGAAGAACCTAAAACCATTAGCTGTTTTAGATCAACATAGAGAAACTGTACAAGATATTTGTTTTTCTTTAGCTAGAACAAGAACATATGATAATAAGTATTTAATGGCCACAGCTGCAAAAGATGGATATGTAGCATTATGGGATATTTATAATTAAATTAGACTGTAAGACTATCATTGTAATTTCTAAACGAATATTTTCTAATAATAAATCAAATTTTGCAATATGTTTATGAGATTATTTTATTAATTTTATAATAAAGTCATAATTGCAATTATCATAGTGTTTGTTTTGTA